TGCGGTGACGCACCAGACAGCACTCCAGCGACCATCGACGTCAGAGCTTCGCAATCATACCGTATACCAAAGTACCGCCTTAATGGTCAGCTCGTACCAGCACTAGACCGCAGTCTAAGTCAAATGCGCACTCTATTCAATCAGGCTTGATGAGTCTCGCTGCTGAAAAAACGATAGAGAAACCGCTTCGCCTAAATTGCCTACTTCGCCAACCATGTCTCGCGAACAGACCAGGTTGACCCTCAAAGTTTGCGATCATGCAACCACCTCCAATCCTGCTGGGAAGATCATCATGAATAGATCATCCAGACGCCGTTCAGAGCGGCTGCTCGTTCTCTCTTCGCGCTTAAGGGATATATTTGGCGATGGGTAGAGTTGTTTGCGCGCGGCATCAATCTCAGACCCCAGCATGCAGTGTGATCACAGAAAGCGAGCCAATCGTATACCCAGCGCTTCTGCATCTGTACGGAGCACTCAACTCTGTCTTACCACGATGTTGAGAATAAATCGCCGCAGCGCGCTCTTTCTGAGAGCTCACAACGAGCTTCGTGCAAACTTGCCTCATCTCTCTGAATTCTTCGTACCGATCGTGCTCGTGGAAGTTTTGTTTCCCTTACCTATCGCTTCCACGCCAACCTAGGAAAAACTTGGACAGCCTGGAGCCTACATTGGCGCTGTCCACGACAACCTAGGAAAGAACTGAACAGCCTGGAGCCTACATTGGCGCTGGGTCACCGCCTTCGCAAGGTTTTAGCTTAACGTAGCCTGCATACCAGTTCGGTGTTTTTCTTGTATGAGGTGCTCCACTTGCCTCACGACCACTGTCCAGTGGAGTTCCGGAATATCCAGCCAAACTCGTGTCGTCCCAACAGACTCGAGATGACAGACATACTCAGGTGGAAACCGCCATCTTGGTGGGCCGGAGATGGCAATTCGAAGCCTCTTCCTGCGAAGGGCATGCGTATCTTTGCGTCGAGTCAGTTTGGTGGTGATCGTGTCAAACGAGTCAGTTCCGCTTACGCAAAAGCGAAGAAATGCAAAGTATGCTACAATAACGAGTGGCCTACGGTCGCAGGCGGAGTCACTGTTGGAGTTCTGATGACTTCCGCTGATAAGGGATGTGCCGGTTGCTTAACACTATGTGGTATTGTACACAAATGTGCCCTGGTCACCAAAGGCTCAGATCGGCCGTTCGAGCTTGGCTTGAACCAAAGGATATCTTGCAGAGTGGAACAGTCACGACTTGTCTTGGAATGCTACCCAGATGCGTCATGGGAGGTGTTCGATCCACAAGGTAAGTTTTTGATGGCTAAGGTGTTAATCACAAACTAATGTCTTCAGGTCGCAACAATCCGTGGCGAATACCACGTCTTCCGCATGAAGCCGTTTCAGACTCTGGTTCTGATGAAGCTGTTCAACGAGTCTCTTCGTGGTTACGAGATTGCGATCACAAACACGAGTTGTGCAAGGGTGCTAGATCAAGCCTCCCAACTCGCGTCGTTCTGATCCAAGATCCAAAGAACATCAAGCTGTATGAGACCCGCGGCGAAGTGAAGCCTTATGTTTGTCTTAGTCACTGCTGGGGAGGAGCTACAATTAGGACAACTACGACGGCGACCCTGACCGAACACAAGCGCAGAATCCCTTCAGAGAAACTCCCTCAAACATTCCAGGATGCCATCTCCTTCGCATACCGGTTGGGATACAAATATCTGTGGATCGACAGTCTTTGTATCATTCAAGGTGACCATGAAGACTGGCGAAGAGAAGGCAGCAGAATGGCACAGATCTATTCCGGTGCCGACTTTACCATTGCTGCCAGCGACGCAAAAGTCCCATCGCAAGGCTGTTTCCGCAAACATCCGGAACGTCCTGTCAGCAAGTTCTCCTACCCGGATACGAACGGCTCCATGCTGGACGTTTGCGTTCGGCCCAGCATAGACCATTATGCATGGAAATATGGCCGATATCCATTACTGACGCGTGGCTGGACGTTACAAGAATGTCTGCTATCCCGACGATTGGTACACTTCACAGCCGAAGAGATGTTCTGGGCTTGTAGGACAGAGAACAAATGCGAGTGCTCGTTCTGGTGGGACGCCACAACATTGCCCTTCAGAAATTTGCGCAGCCCTAAATACCTCAACACAATACGTCACTCTAGTCCGGCGGAGTGCGTAGCTCTTTGGCATGGTATTGTCAGCGAATACACTAATGCGGAGTTGTCTAACGAAACGGACTGCTTTCCAGCATTGCAAGGAGTCAGCAGACAGTTGTACCCGATGAAGAAGTCGGCCTACATGGCTGGGTTATGGGAGAGCAGCATCATGTACGACTTACTGTGGTATTCTGATCATAAGGACAAATCATGCGCACCAACAGCATGGCGTGCACCATCATGGTCATGGGGATCTATCGTGGGGCGAGTCCGATGGCCAACATGGCTCTCACACTCCACGCCTCTAGCCACTTACGTTGGGAAAGAAATTGTCCCTGCAAGAGGAGGAGACGAATATGGGCAATTGCTCTCCGCGAAGTTAACTTTGCGAGGGCGCAGTTTGCTTGCGAACGTTGAAGGCACGTATCAGCCTTTCGCACCACAACCAGGCGAAGCAATCAGATACCCAGACCATCGGGCTTGGAAGAAATGCGAGCGCAAAATTTACATCGATCGTCCACCGGAATCGGGGCATTCGGAAAGCAAGAGGGCTGTCGTGTCTACCGGACAGGTCAAAACGCTGCTCATGAGCGTGTACGATATGGGACAGTACAAGGTGGGACAGGGATATCTCTATGCCATGTTGGTTCTGCAACAGGTGAATAGGGCAACGAACACCTACAAGCGCATTTGTTACATGACATTGGAAACCCGGAAGGGGTTCGATGTGTCCAGCCTTCCGCTAGGGTAAAGTAGCCGCCACGAATAGCTCTGAAGATATCTTGCTAACTTATTACTAGTATGTAGCTCCCTTGCTATACTTTGCCAACGCAGTTCTAAGTTATCTTATTGTTTGTGCTAACAGCTTAATAGGCAACGAGGAGACTCTGCACATTGTTTAGTTGGGTGGCAGATGCATGTGAGACACTTCATGTAGTCTTCTTGTGCAGAAGGACGATTCTCAATTTACGCGAAGATAGCTGGTTTGTCGTAAAGCTATGTAAGATAGGGCAGATAGGTAGTGTAAACCGGAATGGCAGGTTCATGTATTGAAAAGTTTGCAATCAGTTTGAGTATGACAAGATAGAGCGACCTCAAACCTACAAGAGATGGGTTAAAGGCTGAGTGGCTATGCTTAACGCATACTTTGAGTGAGAATGGTGCATCGTTCATAAGGTGCGTAGTATTCGATTAGAAGCAATGTCAAGGATATAGGTTGGTATCAGTATCATGCGAATCCCAAACGCCAGATAAAAGTGCGAAACAACAACAAGACGGGCCAGGCTGAACATCAACCGCTCCGCTCCATGCTCCGTTGGTATCTCCCAATGCTCCATGCCGTCCCCAGACTTCAACCGCGAACGCCACACCACACACCCCTCAACTCCACTACGCCTTCTCGTTTCCCCAGTTACTTATACTGCGGCACACCCTGCGGCGGCGGCCCATACCCTGGCGCACCACCACCAGGAGCTTCACCATGTCCACCATACCCATTCATCGGCATAGCACCACCCTGCACCTTTGCCCCACCGCCGAACTGCTGCAGTTCGGGTTCCGGACGGTACTTGATGTCCTGCCAGAAATTGCAGACGTGGCATCCAACTTCCTTATACGGTTTCAGGCTGAACGGGATAACGGGGATGAAGCAGAATGTAAACCATTCCCAGCGCTTCATCACTTTGCCAGTGGGGTTGCCGCAGTTTTGGCAGTGGAGTTGGATGTGTTCGGCGCCTTTGAGGGCGGATGTAAAGGCTAGAGGGGGTGTTAGCTTGTGGACTTGAAGAGTTGGGGGTACGAATTGGCATGGCTGGAGAACGGGAGGCAAGGACGAGAGTGAGGTTGCATGCTGGACGATGGGGTGACGTACTGTGCGTTCCGCAGGTAAAGAAGAAGAACATGATCGCGGGTTATATGCGCGTGTAGCGCAGTACTCGTTGTGATACGTGTATTTCCCGATTTGGGGGCGGATGTCTCGTCGCGGTCGGGCTGGTGGAACGATGCGCGTGCGACAAGTGGTACGGATGCTTCGCGTTCGGTCGATGGGTATTGTTCGTGTGTGATGCTCGTATATGCAATAGCGCGTAATGCTGAGGGGATTATGTACTGTCGCGAGGTTTGTCTGGAAGGAAGTAGAGTCGTCTGAAATGTGTTGCGATGGGAGGCGCGGGTTTCTGGTCTCTGGTGGAAAACCATTGGCGCCGAGGAAGCTGCGTCATCATCGATGCGTCTCAGCCACACTTGGCCTGGGGGCTAGCGGCTAAGTCCGCCAGCGCGGCGGCTATCACATGTACATATCCACGTACGCACCCCACACGCATTGATTCTTTGGCACGGGAATCATCGCATTCAAAAGAGTACAAAAGTCCACAAATGGTATCATTGACATGTCGTTCAGGCGTTGAAGTGGTTGTGGAGGAGAAGTTGATCGACGGCTAGCTCTTACCTGAAGAGGACTGCTGCGCCTGCATCGTGATTCGCAGTGGATGTTAGTCACCTGATCAGGATCGCGAGGCAAATCACGGATAGCTGATGGGGTTTGAGCATCAACGCTTCATTATAGTATCGAGCGGTAGCCTCTAAAGCCACTCTCGTGGGAAAGAGACTCGTGACAGTCATTAGGGTAGGATAGTACAAGCCCTTCATTATCCTTCGCATGTCAACGCCGATGAACCGCAGAGCCCATTAACCTCCGTTGAAGGCTAACATCCATACTGTGAGAGTGAGGTAGTGTCTCCCAACCTGGAAAGAGACCTAATGCTGGCTCCACAAGAAAGACCTGAGCAGAGAGGATGGATGAGACTGTCAGAGGTCACGGGCGGCTTGGTCCAGTCGCATTCGTCTACTGAGTCTTGAAGAGCAAGATAGCACAGTGACCGAGGTAGAAGTAAATGAAATGCTTCGTCTCTGTAGTCCAGTCAGTCATCGTTGTATGAAACGTCTCAGTACGATAGTTCAGCTTACCATGCGTGACAAAGCTTCCAAAGTTGCGGCCGACGATGCAGTGCCATGTAGCACCCTTCCGGCTGTCGAACTGCGGAGATATTAGCGCGCGCTTCCAACAGCCCTGAGTGTGGTGATCTTACCTCCTTCTTGATGTACTGGGCAATGTCCTACAAGTTGAGTCAGAGCGGTCCTAGAATAGTCTCGGCCTGAGCGGATAGTGAAGTCCCACCTTCTCGATAGTGAACTGCTCCATAGCCGTTTGTGCTACAACATGTCAGCGTATCCGTCGAGGTATGTCGAAAGCAGTTGACTTACCGACTTCAATGGCCTCTTGTTGCATCTCGTCGCTCTGTCACACATGTCAATATGAATCCGGAAGCAGCAGCCTAGCTATCTCTTACCATGTCTGCAGACTTGATTTGAGCTGCATACTGCATTAGCTTGTACTTTGGCAGACGTGTTGACAGGAACAAGGGGTCTTACCATCCTGCTTATGGGCATCTGACTTGTCGCTGGCCATGGTGTTGATCTGTATGTGTATCAAAGGTTGAGTGGTTTGGTGTAGCTTCCTTCAAAGTAGGCGAGCTCTTATAATGCGCGTGGTTGAGTGAGGCTTGTCCAGGGCCTTGTCATGATGTTTGAGCAGGCGCTCGCGGCGGTCTGCGCTCGGGCCTTCCCCGTGAGCCTAATGCGCGCTAGTGGACTGCCGGCCCATGCGTCGTTCACTTTTTTCTTCAGAACGCGACACTGACATCCACTACTCTTCCCACGACACCACAACCCGGGCAGGCAAGGCTTTACAGCATGGAGTCGTCACGTATCTTCGTGAGGAATTTGCCCTCTCACTTCACCGAGGCTGACGTGCGGAAACACTTTGCCAAGTTTCCCATCACTGACGTAAAGTTCTTCAACCACCGACGCATCGGCTATGTTGGCTACAAGACGCCCGAAGATGCTGCAAAGGCTGTCAAGTACTTCAACAAGACCTTCATCAAGCTCACCAAGATCTACGCAGAGATTGCGCGACCTGTATGTACTTTACGACCACCATGGCGACAAGCGGGGCTAACATGCGCAGATTGCCGACAAGGAACTGCCAAAGTCACGGCGGCAGCAGAAACTCGAGAAGAGCGCCCCAGTAAGCGACGAGTACCGACCGGAACGGCAAGAGAACGACCTCAAGCGGAAACGAGAGGAAGCCGAGCAGGACCCGAAGCTGAAGGAGTTCTTGGAGGTCTATCAGCCGCCGTCTAAGACCAGCATCTGGGCCAATGGCGATACCCAGCTCAATGAAGCACCTGTCGCAGCCGCTGAAGAGGCCGTACCGGCGATTGCTGTACCAGAGGATGAGAGCGACGATGAATATCAAGTCATCTCGAAGAAGCCAAAGATCGCTGAAGAGCCTGCGACCGCGTCACCCCCAGCAGCCCCACAGCCAACGTCCGCTGAACCAAGCGCAGCAGCCATTCCACCAGAAGCTGTAGGTGATGACGCGATGGAGGACGTACAAGTAGCGCCAGCCGTCGAACAAGGACCTGTCACGGATGAGGACTGGCTGCGGTCGAGAACGAACAGGGTTTTGGAGCTCGTGGAAGATGATGAAATGCCATCAGCTAGCACGGCTCCTGTCGCTGTAGCACCGAAACCAGCTGCCCAACCACGCGCACCTGCTGAGCCTTCTCCGGTCGTTGCCGACGCACAGCCAGAGCCACAACCCCCGGTGGAAGAGCAGACCGATACTGCTGCCGCGCCTGATGAGGAGGACAAGATTCGCGAGACTGGTCGACTGTACCTCAGAAATCTGCACTACGAGGTGACAGAAGATGAGATTAAGGAACAGTTCTCCAAGCACGGAGCTCTCGAGGAAGTAAGTCATCATACATCTCTTTCTTTACCCGCCCATGCAATGATGAACGTCAAGATAGGGACAACTGATGCTTCGGCACCTGAGGTTACCTTGTGAAAGTATTTTAGTAGATGTCTTTCTTATCTGATAGCGGCAACCACTCCTGGATTACTCACGTACACTTGTGCGAATAGTTGCTGACTATGACAGGTGCATGTGCCGTTGAAGAAGGCAGATGGCAAGGGTAAAGGTTTCGCCTTCGTGCAATTCCAGAACCCGAGCGATGCAGTGGAAGCTTACCTTGACAACGACAACACCATCTTCCAGGGACGCCTCCTTCACATCATCTCCGCGAAAGTGAAGAAAGATACCAAGCTCGACGACTACGAGATCTCCAAGCTGCCTCTCAAGAAGCAAAAGGAGATCAGAAGGAAACAACAGGCGGTCAAGGCCACGTTCAATTGGAACTCGCTCTACCTCAATGCAGATGCAGTTATGTCCACCATCGCAAGTCGCATGGGCATCAGCAAAGGTGAGCTGCTCGACCCCACTTCGTCAGACGCTGCAGTCAGGCAAGCGCATGCCGAGACACACATTATCCAAGAGACGAAGTCGTACTTTGCGCAGCATGGCGTTGACCTGGAGGCCTTTCAACGCAGCGCCAAAGGTGATTTGGCTATCCTCGTCAAGAACGTACCTCATACCGTGACGGCCGATGAGCTCCGCAAACTGTTCGAGGAACACGGCAAAGTGACCAAATTCCTGATGCCGCCGACCGGTATGACAGCTATTGTCGAGTTCTCGAACGTTGCGGAAGCAAAGACTGCATTCATGTCGTTGTCGTATCGGAAGATGAAAGATTCAATCCTGTACCTGGAAAAGGCCCCCAAGGATCTGTTCAAGGAAGGTGTCGCAACCAACTTTGTGCAGACCACGCCGTCCGCCCAGCCTTTGCAGTCCTCACAGCCCGGTGTGAAGCTTTCTGCAACTGACCTGCTCGTGGACGACCCTGAGCCCGAGGCTACAAACACCGCCACTTTGTACGTGCGCAACTTGAACTTCTCCACCACAACTGAGCGTCTCACGGAGGCGTTCAAACCTCTGGCAGGTTTCCGGAGTGCCACTGTCAAGACCAAGACCGACCCCAAGCGAGGCGTGCTGTCCATGGGCTTTGGTTTCGTCGAATTCAACAGTCCAGAGACTGCCACTGCAGCTTTGCGAGCCATGGATGGACACGATCTCGAAGGGCACAAGCTTCTCATCAAAGCTTCCCACAAGGGCGCCGATGCCGCCGAAGAACGCCGCAACGAGGATGCAGCAAAGAAGGCGGCAAGCACGAAGATTCTCATCAAGAACTTGCCGTTCGAAGCCAGCAAAAAGGATGTTCGTGCTCTGTTCACTCCTTACGGTCAGCTTCGATCCGTACGAGTGCCCAAGAAGTTCGACGCTTCCTCACGTGGTTTCGGTTTCGCAGAGTTCACCACCAAACGCGATGCTGTCAACGCCATGAACGCATTGAAGAACACACATTTGTTGGGCCGTCGCCTGGTCCTTGCATTTGCTGAGACGGAGTCTGATGATCCAGAGAAGGAACTGGAGAAGATGCAACAGAAGGTGGGGGCACAGGCCAACAAGGTCGCCTTGCAACGCCTTACAGAAGGTGGTCGCAAGAAGTTTAACGTTGCAGGCACCGATGATCTAGACGACTGAGCGCAAGAGTATTCCGATAGGAGTTGCGCGCGCGACTCCGTCATACCTTGACGCCATCCCTTGCTCCCCGGCCACACAAGCTAGGCCGCCCTTTGCCGCGGTCCGTAGGAAGTAGTAGGGTGCTTTGACCTGCTGCACGACGCTATATCTAGAACACCGTTTTCTAAGTTTCGACAGGGTATATCGCCAGTGGATTGCATCAATGGGCATGGCCACCACACGGCGTTTCAGACTACTCCAAAGGGAGTAAAGAAGCCATGAACGAGACGTTTGTCGATCATGCAGACTTGACGTAGTTTGTTGTTTGCGGACACTGACCTCTATCCTTGCTTTGAGCAGTCCGTGATGGCTCTGTTCGCCTATGGCCAATCAGGTGACTGTCGAACAGATGGCAGTCTGACTCCATGCCCTTGATCACTCTGCTAACCACGCTACATTTACCATTACAACAGCAAAGGTTTCACGAGAGATGTGATCAATGGCCAAAAGTCGAACTGGGACTCTTTGGAGGCCATGATGAAGGCACGACGCACTCCAATCTTAATCTTGTGGTACTGGACTGTCACCCCGATGACTGGCCCCTCTATCAATTTCCGGCTAGCGGAAGTCGTATTGCACCCTACGGTCGGTGCTATGGCCTACGTGCCTATCATGTAGTCCTCCTGCCTAGGGCCCGTCATCTGGACCATACTTTATCAATGCAATCATCTGCAAACCTCGCCGCATACCCAGCTACATTCTCGTCCTCATTCACCACACTCGTTGCTTCAACTGCTCAACATTCATTGCTTTGTACTTCAAGTCTCATCCATACTTATCATCGCTGGTTTCATATTCTGAGGTTTGCATGCCATAGCCGCCATGCAGGTCCAGTCACCCCAGCCCTTGTCCAGGCTGTCGGCGGACATTCCCCTCTTGGAAGGTACTCCGGTCGATGGATCGCCACAACATCGAGACGTCCTCCAGGAGCGTTACGCTGCGCAGTCTCACAACACTCATAGCAGTACAGCCTCGCCACAAGTGGGACAAAGAAGCAGTCTCAGCCCCTCCGACAGCTCTCACGCACAGCGGAGCGTCGCGACAGGAAATTATTACACGGGCAATGTACACGCACAACACATTGGATTGGCAGGCTTCGGCGTCGAGAGGTCGGAGAAGCAGATCAGATGCGAACTCGGGCGACTATACAAGCTACTTCAGCGGTCAGAGAAGTACCAGACATATCGCGAAAAGCAACCAGCTCTCACACCGGCCGAAGTCGTCGCGAGAGACGCTGCAGAGAAAAAAGAGCAGGAGAAGAGAAAAGCCCAGGGACTACAGCAAGAGAAGGACAAGACTGTCTGGCCTGACTTCTTAGAACAAGCCTTCTGGACGGGTAAGTCTTCACGTTCATTACACTGCATCTCGCAGTACGTCTGTCTCACTACCTGCGTTTTCCACTTCTATTCTCCCACCACCTATGATTACGCAGCTTCACGATTCCAGCCCAACATCTGACAAACACTCTACAGCACTCGTACGATGGCCGCCAATGGGAAGGAAGAAATACATGCTCGAAGGCACCCAGCGAGGGCGGAATGAGCTGATCCAGGATTCTATTTACAGAGACACCGGTATCAGACGCGACCGCAAACAGGTTTCCAGCCATCTCCAGGTCCTCAAGGACAAGCTCAGAGGAGTTCCTGCTGGTGAGTGCCCGTCTCGTACATCGTGTAACGATCGGCATCAGCCTCTTCTCATTCGCCCATGACATCGGGGCAACGATCCCGCATGCGTCGATCCAGTTTCAAGTCGTCAGAGCATTCCTATCTTCCAAAGTTCTTCTAGAAGGCAGTGGCGGTGGCTTTGCGGTTGCTATTCCTGGTGTGATTGGGAGGGTTCCGCTAGGGACTACCAAAATGAGACTAACCTGCACGACAGTCCTACTCTACATGGCCACACCAGAGGACGTCTCTAAGCGCCGATCTACGAATACATCCGCCCGATCATCCTATTCGTCACAGCTGCATGGCCGCCAACATGCGCAGCGCACAGAGTCTGTTACCAAATCCGATTCCAGTACCTCCTCGCCGCACGTTTTGCCGCATTGCAGCGGCCCACAATCCGACCTCACCCTGGGTTCCGGCCCGGATTCTGATGCGCTGTCTTCTTCGTTCGCAGTCATGGGCTTCAAGATCCTCCTTGAGGGTGATCTCCAGCCTATGCACTGTTTGGCTCAATCACAATCGCATGGCAGGCTCGATAGCTCGGATATTGTAGATCTTGCCTCTTGGCGCCATCAATACCGCGAGTTTGACTTCCTCCGATCCGAGACCGAGGAATGGATGGAGAACGGTCGGAAAGTGTTGGTCGGTACCGCATCTACTGCCTTGATGACAGAGATGCCGCCAGATGCCGACCTAACCATCATCTTCGATCTTCACTCGCATTCCGACTTGTCAAGATACGACTATGTCGAATGCATGACGCGATTTTACAACAGCGGCGACAACGTAATCGACCCGCAATTTGACCGCGCGAGGCATGACCGAGAGGAAACACGATCCACTTGCGAGTATCGGCGAGACCCCCAAGGCTCTCAAGGTGTTCTATGCGTCCAATTTACGACGCAGCCATGGGCGAGACATGTGAGAGAGAACCAGAATCTGACGCACAGAAGCGAGGAAAGTGTCAAAGAATCGCTTCAACACCTGGTAGCAATACAGTACATATATGGTGTTGTTGCTAACACAGGCGAGATCCGATGCCTCACTACAGTTCTTTGGAGGTTCCAGCAGACGAGTGAATCTGCAGAAGTGGGCAACATTGAGTGGCGTTCCGTGAGGTTAGCTGATCACCGGTCAGCTGCAGGAGAAAGATCTTGTTATGAGGCGATATCCAAGACTGAAGATTCAGAAGACACGGAAGATGGTCACAAGCGTACTCCGGCCATACCAACGTCTACACATACAGTTGCGACGCCTTATTACCAAACTACACAACTACCACTGGACTTGGCACAGACACATATAAGCCACCACTCATACGAGACTGAGTCTCACCATGCTTACTTGCCACCACCTCTCCCTGTCGATGTCCTCGGATCAATGCAACCAGATCCAGACCACCTCGACACCTCGGTGGCTACCACTACCACTGAGTTCTCTGGCGAAAGCTTTGCACTGTCACGCCCTTCGGGCATGGCATCGCCAAACACACAAGGCAATGATTTCAACTTCAACGACGGGCACGTGGGATTCCGAGGCAACTTCGAATCTGGTAACCCCCAGGTATATGGAGGCTTCCTTAGCCAAAGCACTGGACAAGAGGGATTGCATACGCTTGCTGGACTGGAGCACGATGAGCTCGCAACCATGGGGCTTGCTGTCGGCGAACATGGACAGCTGATTCCAGTGGATGCAAACAACGATCTGCACTATTCCACCAATGCAGCTTGCTATTCGGCCAAACCCAACTGGCAGCACGCACACCTCGTTTCGAACCTCGAGAACGCAGCAGAACAGTACCGCCCTTACCTCAACCATGATGGTCGTGCTCAGGTAGCACCAAATCCCGGTGCTATCCATGGCCATGACCCATATCAACAAGTCGGTCAAAGGCAGGATTCAGTGGCGGGTATCTTCCCCAACGTGAATCACACCTTTTGGGGTTTGCACGGGCTCCAAAGCCCATTTCAAGATGACATGGGTAGTGGTGCCGTCCATGGGACAGAACACTTGGAAGAGCAAACACACGGTCCAGACTACGGTGTGCCGGGTCTAGTTGAGAGAGACCAAGCAGGAAGAGGTTATTAGACCTCGGTCGGCCCCCTTGAGGCCGCTTACGATGAAATGACTTTATGTTGGTTACATATGTATCATGTAGATTAAGATTAGGTAGATTATCAAAAGAGTATAGAGGTCTCACGAAGGCGAAATTTGATCCCTATCTCGTACGACATGTCTCGACACACTGATCGCAAAATGCTCGTGGCCTGCACGCACAACAGCCCTTAGTTTTTCCGATCCCTTTGACGCCGCGAAGATACATGAAACATGGTCGACCCACTGACGCATGCATCTGACAGACACACCCGAGCCGCTCAAAACTACACGCTAGCAACGGCAATGGCGTCAGACTCCCGGCACAGGCATTAAACGGTCGATAGGGCGTTCCTTACGCTGCACAGCCGATCAACCTGCATACAACCCTAAAATAGACAAGATATGCACATGTAAAAGCTTTGATCTTCGGGTGAGGAGCCCAACAAACGCTACACCCGATCCCGCATAACGATCTGTAAGGACATTGTGGCATGTATGTAGGCGGAATCCATGGAATAAACTACGTAATTGCCAACGGCCGCGGCCACACCCGCAAGGGAAGCGGTGCGCCTCGGGTACCCTGGATGTCAGTGTCAGTCCATGGGCATGTGCATGATCCCTTTTGCTGCACTCAGCCACGATAACAAGATGTTGTTTACCTAATGCTATCGCTACACCGCATGTGCGCACCGGCGTCATTACAGCCCAAAGTGCGGGAAGACGCCCAAGGCGCGTCAAGTTCGACAAACGCGCTGGCGCGCGGTCACGCCTGCTTGCCCGCATTGAGCGGGGCAAACAGCGCGCAGCTCCACTTTCAAGCGACGACACAGCAAGCGCTCGGCACGCTACTCGTTCGCGCTTCTTTGCTATGGACACGGCGGGGGAGGATTTGAAGAGATACTTGATTGTTCATCCGCTTTCTTCTTCCTCTGCGTCTCTTCTGTCTTCAAGTCCAGCTGCTAGCGATTTAGAGAAAAAGATCACTGCTCCTCGCAGCACGGATACGAAATACGAGCAAACAGCTTTCCCAACCAACAAGGCCGGGAAGCGCAAGATGGAAGTCGATACGCCCACTCCTCTACCCACTCATTTTGGGAGTGCGCACGCAGAAGCTATGGATGGAAGTACACCACTCGACGGCGTGATCAGCATGGACGATTTCATGATCCAGAACAAGCACGCGCATGAAGCCCAAAAAGTCGTCAAGGAAACCAAGCAGTCTACATCTGCTCCTCCCTCCAAGAAGCCCAAAACCCCCAACCAGAAATCAACTCCACTCGTACCTGTAGCAGTCGGCGCCCGCTCCTCCCGACACACCATCCTCCTCCACGAAAAATACCAAGCCCTCGGCATCCCCCAACCACTCTTCACCTACGGAGGCGGCAGCGAAACGGGCTGGACTGTTTCCGTTTCCTTCCCCGGTCTAGATGATGCGGAGGAGCTGCAAGGATTAAAGTTCGAAGAAGAGAAAAAGTTCAATAGCAAGCAAGAGGCCAAAGAGGCCATGAGTCAGAAGGCGCTGGGTGTGTTGGAGGAGTTGGAGAAGGAGGGGAGGGTCAAGAAGGGTGGGAAGGGGAAGAAGAAGAAGGGGGGTGGTGAGGAGGAGGGGAAGGTTGGGGAAGTGGGAAAGGTTAAAGAGGAGAAGGAGAAGGGGCCGGGGGAGAATTATGTTGGGAAGTTACTTGAATTCCAGCGCGCAACCGATTCCCCCCAACCCACATACACGGACTACCAATCCGGGCAACGCTTCTCCTGCATCATCACCATCGACGGCGAAGACCAACCCTTCGGCTCCATCTCTAATCTCTTCTCCTCAAAGAAAGCCGCTCGACAAGACGCCGCCCGCCACGCTGTCGACCATTTCAAAGCCCTGGGTACCTGGCCCACTGACGACACCGCCGTCGGCGGCATCCGAAAGAGAAAGAAAGCCTCACCCATCGACCCAGAAACCATCTCAATATCCCCACTACTAGAAAACTCCACTTCCCCCTCCACACCCCCCATCCAAGCAACAACCCCCACCCCCGCGCCCCCAGGCACCCCTTCCTACGCCTCCCGCGTCGCCACCCTCGCCGTCACGCTCGCGCTTCCAACTCCAGAGTGGAACTACACGCCCCACCCCTCCGACCCTACCTTCCACAGCGTATGCTGTTTCTTTAAAGGCGCGGGACAGCACGAGGGTCCGATTGGCGAGGTGCGAAATATTTACGGCAGGAAGAAGGCGAAGGAGGAGTGTGCGAGGTTGACGCTGGAGTATCTGACACAGGTTAAGGAGGAGAGGTTGAGGTATGGGATTAGTGTTATGAGGGGGGTGCTTGGGAGTGAGGGGGTGGAGGGGGTGATTGAGGGGGGGTTGGGGAGGGTTGGACTGGGTGAGGGCGAGGGAGTGGAGGCGGGTGGGGAGAAGAGGGTTGAGAGTGTGGGTGGGAAGGTGAGGTTGGGGATGAGGCTTGATGGTGTGGATGAGAGTAGTGAGGATGAGGTGTTTGCTGATGCTATGGAGGGCTAGGGTATGATATCCACTTGGGAGGCGTTGGCTTGTATAGCAGCTTTGGGTAGTGTACAGCGGAGTTGGGTAGAGATGGTGTGGCCTGGACCTTGTATACCGGTGTTCGGTACAGATGAACTTTGGGTTTGACTGTAGCATAGCCCTCTGATGAATACCCATACAACACATCAAACCCCTCGTCCTCCCCCACTTTCACCCAACCCATCTACCTCACCATCTCCGCACACACATTGAAGGGGAAAGCAATCAAACACCCAAGTAAAATAACCAGTAATATTCGCGCATCTCCACGATACACATGTCTAAACTCCTTTTCTACCTCCCACAGAAGGCATGAAGTAGACAGGAGACTAGTTGTACAGTTTACCCAGTCCCGCTAACATTTGAGATACACTGGATGGGAGGCTCACTAAGCCCACCTCGACACTCTTCGCGAAGAAAAAAGCTGAATAACCATTCGCACCATTCGCCGTGGCAAGGAACCCAGCGACAGCGACAGCGACGACAGGAGAAATAGATGTACAGGTACAGAGGACCATTGCGACCGTAAAGCCCATGGACTCAACCGCAGAATCAGAAACCAGGAAGTCGGCCGCTCTTCTAAGACGAAGCGACCTCGCTCTTCCTCTTACTCCGATCGCGCTTCTTCTCCTTACCAGCCTTCTCCGCCTTCTCCTTCTCCTGCGCCGCCGCCGCGTTCTCTTTATCGCCTTCCAGCTCCGTGTTGCGCGTGCTACGCCCAGACTTAGCCTTCTTCTTCGCGGCGCCAGTCTCCTCGGGGGGAGTGGGTTCGTCGTGAGAGGAAGCTGGGGCGGGAGCGATGGGCTGCGGCGCGGATTTCTCCTTCTTCTTCTTGTCTTTCTTTGCGGGGGTTTCGGCGACGGCGGGGGCGGTTGAAGCGGAGGCTTGCGGTGCGGAGCGCGAGGTAGGCAGGGGGACGGGCGTGGAGGCTGTGGCGGGCGCGATGGAGACGGGGATTGAGTTGCCGTTTACAGCGGGCGTGGTCTTCTGGCGCTTGCGTGGTGTCTTTGCGGGGGGAGAGGGGGCTTTGGCGGGTGCTTCGTCTTCGTCTTCGGAAGAGGCGTCTGTGTCTGCGGCGCCGGCTTCGACTTCGGCTTCGATTTCTGGTTCGCCTTCCTCGGACGCGTCGTCTTCTTCGATTTCGGCGTCCTTGATGCCCTTTTGCTTGACGTATTCGGCCATTTGCACTTTCCACTCTTCCATGGAGTTGCGGTAGGATGCTTTCCATTCCTGTGATTGGGTTAGTGAGACGTCGATTGTCGGGTTTTGTGATTGTGTGCTTACCTCCTTCTCCGCGTCGGAGAGCTCAGCCCAGCGCCTGTTGACCTCGGTCTGGACGGCGGCTGGAGCGAGTGTGCCACCGGGAGCGAGCGCTGCCTCCAGATCCGCCTTGACGATGGGACGCGCGTGTTGGTGGTAGAGGAAAGCAGCAGTGAGGGGCTTCTTGGGCGCATTGGGGTCCTTTTCCTTCTTCTCGCGCTTGCGCTTCTTGCTCTTGACGCCGTCAATTGTCTTCTCAGCAGGCGCGCCAACGTCTCCGGCTACGCTGTCCATGAGCTTTTGGCCACTCTCTACAACATTCGCGGCGGTCTTGATGGTACTTGTGATAGCATCGTTCTCGGTTGAGACGTCGTCTTTTTCGATGCCGAGGACTGATGCGCAGTGCTTGTTGTAGTGGTCCATGAGGACGGTGATCTGGTGCTGTACGTTGACGAGGCCATTCTGGAGGCTGTGAAGAGAGCCCAGAACCTGCGCGTAATTGTAAGTTTTTGCACTGTAAAAACACCATGTATCGGGTCGCGTAGATTACGCGATCCATGTTACACAGACGCATCCATATGGCGACGTGATGGTGGCGCGATAATGCGCGCTGACCGCGTGGTGTTCCGACGCGACGACAGGGCTATGCGCGCGTGTCGCAATTGCGATTGGAGATCGCAAAAGTGGAATTGGGTACGTACGTGGTCTCTTGTCCGATTGAATTCTGCAACAGAGATCAGCAATTCGCCGGTGGCGGGCGTCTTCTTCTTGGGGACCATGTTGGGCGGCGTGGTATGGGCAGAGGGTGAAGACGCGTTGACGGGCGGGAGGTTGAAGAGGGAGGGCGCGGGAAGGGCGGAGGAGCGCTGAAATTTCGGGGGGTCGGGGGCATAGCTCCCTTAAGTGACAGCCCAAACACAAGCGAACGTGCCCTGACTTTTGGGCAGTCACCAGCCCATTCGGGGGGCACCAGTAAATTAATGCCCCCAAAATTCAGATCTAGGCTTACTTTTCGCGACTGCAGCCTGTACAAAAGGCGCGTTTTCAAGATGCACCCAGATAACTTGCACGCGAAAGTTATGCGCAGTCTCTTTTAGGCGTCTACTACCTTTCAGAAGCTATGGTCTACTTTCAGCGCGCATTTTGTCTTCGTCGCGCAGTGCATATCTCTGTTGCAGTGTGTTGTGCAACTTGGGTGGCGTAGGCCGCCTATTAGAGCGAGGGCGCCCATCCGCTGGGCAGAGTGCGCCTGGCAACTGCCCCCCAAGCCGCCCGTGATAAGGCCTTGCTTTGGTGCTACCTCCCCCATCTTTGCGCATGTTTCAGGCGCCGTTTGGCATTGCCTGCCCTCCACCACGCAACATGTCAATCTGAGTTTTGAAAATGCCACAAATCTGCGCATGATGTACTATTAATGATTTCGCACAAATGTTCTTTCTTCTGCAGTCATCTTTGATATTGTTACCTATCTACTCCTTGAACCGCCCACCTTCGCTGACGTCAGGGTATACATCAAATCGCCTCTGCCCGTATAATGGCACTCCTTTCCTGGTCTCCTCGATCTTGCCCGCCTCCAATTCGCGAATGAGCACACCCTCCTTCTCGTCGAGCTGCTCTAGCACTACCGCATTGGGGTCAACGACCATGCTGTGTCCCCACGCGTTGTATTCGGCCTCCATATCCCTTGCCGGACTACACAGTCCAACATAGACCTGGTTGTCCGTCGCCCTAGCCCTCGCCAACAACTCCCAATGTAACGCGCCGGTTGTGAGATTGAATGCGCCAGGGTATAATAGCAGGAACGCGCCCTTCCTCGCCGCGATCATTGCGAGCTCGGGGAACCGTATGTCGTAGCAGATGGCTATCGCAATCTTTCCGTATTCGGGGAGGTCGACTAATGTGATCTTATTGCCTGGCGACAGCACCTCGCTCTCCTTAAACTTGATCTTCCCTGGGATATCGATGTCGAACAAATGCACCTTGCGATGAGTGGCAAGTAGCTCTCCACTAGGCGCAAATGTCAAACTTGTGTTGTACAGCTTCTTCGTGTCCTTATCGTCTCTCTCCGGTATGCTTCCTCCAACCAGGTATACGCCCGCCTCTTTCGCCAATTTGCTCAATGCGTGGAAGGTCTGCGATTGCGATTCCGATGGCGGGGATGGAAGGAGCGTCTCGGCGTACTTGTCGAAGTACTTTGTTCCGTAGGGCGAATTGAAGCATTCGGGCAGGACTACGAGTTTTGCGCCGGCTTTTGAGGCATCGAGCACCTTTTGGCGCGCTGAAGTGAGGTTTGCGGTCTTATCGGCGCCTGAGGCGAGTTGGATGAGCGCGAGCTTTAGGGACTTTTTGAGGAGGGACGCCATGGTTGGTGCTTGTGTGAGGAATTGGTGAGACTACAAGGGAAATAATCCGGGGAAACTTGAAGCTGAAGTATGTACAATGCGATGTTGGAGGTCTGGTTGGAGTGTTGGAGTAGAGTTGGGGTGGGGGTTAGCTCCAGATGTCCGCACGGCGTCATCGCTCGGACTCGCCGCCCCGATCATGGCGGGGTGTGCCTGCCGACGCGTTGGACGCGTTCCTTCACTCCTCCACCACACCACACGCCGATACCGTCTGCTCCAACAACAATGCGCAAGCAAATCACTAGTCGTCACTCAAAGACACTGACGGTAAGAGTTCACGCACTCTACAGTTGTCTTACACCGCGTTTTTCCACAGAAGACGACATTCCATTGCTTGATACCACCGCTCTTACAGTACCCATCGTTCCTTCCGACTCTCCACCATGGATGTCCACAATGGAACAATTAAATTTACTGAGTGTAGGTAATCGTCCAGCAAATGCCATCTTAACAACCACACGCTACCACCATAACATATTGGTGTCGAAAGAACTCTTGATAGGAAAGATCCCCAGATAGAAACCCCTCATGCGATCCATTAACAACATCAAGTTCGCAGCCTCCTGGTGATCCAGGACGTATGAACCAATCCGCTCCCGTACACTATAAGGCAAACCCATCAGGTGTGGCGCTGGCGATCGCATTGTGGCGCGAAGCTTGCCTGTCTTCTTCCCAGCGTGCAGCAGGAGGTATTGTCGCGTGTCCTGATGACTATCGCTTTGTCCAAGCACAATGTACGCAAAACCCTTTGGCTTGTCCTCCGGAGTTAACATTGCTGGCGCAGTCATCACCGCAACAACCTGTCGGGAGTACCTTTCGAAGGCGACGGTATCTGCGCGAAGGTATTCGAGTGTCGTGTTCGCGGCCTCGATGTCAAAGTGTGACTGGCTGTGGCCATCTTCAGACCACGCGTTCGAGCTAACGAATTCGAAGTGACATTTCGCAGCTGAGGGTGACCACATCGCCTTTACGAGTGGAGTAATGTTGGTACTCTGGTGCCATAAGTTATGCATGAGGCAGGTGCCCTTGCAACATCCATTGGCGACATCAATTTTCACCTGTCGGACATACTGCATCTGGGAACCTAGACACCAGTTCGCAGCCGACTGGATCTGTCTGAGATCTTTTGTAGCCGACTGAAGGCGCTTATAATCTGGTACACAGTCGGTCGGTGCCTTGCCAAAGACGAAAGTGTTGTTGCTGTACAAGACACTCGCGGCCTCGTCGTAGATCTGGCGACAGCTGAGCAGCAAGTTGATACCGCCGCGGATACTGGTGAACGCATCCGACTTGACTGGTGCGCATGAAATTGGTATGTCCTCTTCGTCGTGGGTATACTCGCTCATCACTTTTTCTTGGTCCTCGGAATACTCGAACCGAATGCTTGCGTGGTGCTCAAAGAGATGGACGTATATCATAGTGCGAATCTCACCTGGTAGTTCGAGAATTGAGCCGCCGCTGTGGGCTTTGCTGGCTTTCGTACGCGGGATATCGATGAATTGGGGTGGCATCTTGGATGGTTGAGCGTGAGTTGGGGAGTGCGCAAGACCGGAGCTGGTGGGGCTGGTATTGATATGCACAAGGAGAGAAAGAAAATGCGGCAGCCTGGTTGACCAAACACATGTAGTGCACTGACCCGAGGAGAGCTTCAAAACGTTCCCGACTAGCTCCGGAACGCTACGATTTTGAGCTCACATCGCCACTACGGAATGTGCCTGGTGCACAGACATTCAAAAGGTCTCCGTTCATTGCTTCTGTATATGAACCGGCTTTTCGATCTCAAACACTTACCGCACCTTTCAGCACTCAACTCTTTTGCTCGAGCGAACAATATGGCGCCGAACAACACGCCGAAGCCGATCGCAAAAGGCAACTCCGCGAAAGCCAACCCGGAGATCCTTTCCTTCCTCGATCTACCAGCCGAAATCCGAAACCAGATATATGGAATCCTCTTCACGAAAGGTGCTGTAGACAGTCAGGCGCATGAGCTGCACAACTGTGATCTCGGGCCTTGGTACTCGCCGTCCACATCTTCGACGAGTATAAGACTATGGAAGATGGATGACGATCGCGTATCCTTCCAAAAAGACGGTTGTCATATCGATGGTATACAAAGCACACGTGCACAATTTCTCGAAGCGAAGCCATTACTCTCAACATGTCGACAGGTCTATCACGAAGCCGCCACAACGTTTCTGAAAAGTAATACCTGGACTATTGCATCAGGATGTTCTTCATTCAGACACCAGATTGGCACACTTTTAAAAGGCGCAGCAATATTCTTGAGCGCACTTGGTTCTCAATCCGGATTGCTAGAGAGCTTGAAGATCGATATGGTGGGGACATGTTCAGGGTGGGTGGGGGAGGCGGAGGGGAGGCGGAGGGGAGGTGGTGGGGAGGTGGTGGAGGTTATCTCTGGCAGCTTGGTGTAACTGTGGAGGTTCTTGGGGCTGCTGATGGTGGCGAAGGTTGAAAGACAAGAGAACATTCACTCTTTGTCAACGCTTGTATGTGCCCTCCTCCACTCGTATCACGGCTACGGATCGTACATGGTGCCTGATTAGGCTATCCGGTGCGTAACTATCTTCACTCTTACTAGTACTTACCCCTATCAGCTCCTGGTCGTGCCGCGGTACGTTCAATTGCCAACCCGGCAGGCAATAGTCTTTCACCAATACTAGGTAGTCGGGTGCTACCCCAGCCCCAGTCACAGTCAAAAGAAAAAGCGCTTCACTTCATGTAAGCAAAGTGAAACGATGTCAGGATCCACGGACGATGCTGGCACGCAGACGTTGACCTTCTTCCTTCGTTGTATATAACAACCCGTACAGCAAAATATTCCACTCCCGACTCTCACTCCCTTCAACTCACCCGAACTCAACAGCTATGGCAACACTCCCGCGAACGGAACCAATACCTAAAACTCCAGCCATTCCCGCTGTGGCTGGTGCGAAAACGCTGTTCTCTTTACCTGGAGAGATCCGGAACAAAATCTATAGCTATCTACTTCCGGCCCACGGCGAGATCGAGATACATCAGCTTGTCCGAGACCAGAGGTTTGCTTCCGCGGATACTCGTCCGATACATACCCGACACGCACATGCACTGAAGCTGCTTCTCACGTGCCGGCAAGCCTACCACGAGGCCACGTCCTTATTCCTGTCGAGTAACACGTGGGTTATCTCAAGGGCTGGGTATGACAAGTCAGGGTACCGAGTTACACAAGCAGACGACCTCGCGACTTGGTTGACTATGCTCGGATCTAGTGCGGCTATGGTACACAAGGTTATTGTCAACTTGGCTGAAAACACCGACAATGGCGGTGACCAACTCAAATGGCGCCTAAAAATTGACTCCAGCCAGGACACAACTGATAT